GGACGTGGCAGTGTTACCTTTCCCATCTGGACTGTAAAGAAACTGACTTAGTGTTCCCTATGGTATTCATCTTTGAGGCACTGACTAGAAATGTTGTGTCTGAAGATCACTGGGATATTAGCTGGCTGTTTTGCTTTTTAAGATATACCAAATGGTAGGGAGGCATGGCATTGTGTTGGAGTATAATGAGGGATTTCACTGCCCATGAGAAATATTAGTCACAGAATCATAAAATCTTATAATGGTCTGGGTTGGAAGGGATCTTACAGATAAGCTTATTCTACCTCCTGCCATGGTCAGGGAACCCTCCACTAGACCAAGTTGCTCAAAGCCCCATCCATCCTGGCCTTGAACTCCTCTAGAGGTGAGGCATCCATAACTTCCCTGGGTAACTTTTCAGTGCCTTACCACACAGTAAAGAATTTCCTCCAAATATCTAATCTCAATAACTCCTCTTTTAGTTTAAAACCATCCCAGCTTATCATATCACTATCTCCTGGGGTAAAATGTGCCTCCTTCTTTCTTATAAGCCCCCTTTAGATACTGAAAGATCTCAGTGAGGTCTCCCCAGAGCCTTTTCTTCTCCAGGATCAACAACCCTAACTCTTTCAGCCTGTCTTCATAGGAAAGGTGCAAACAGCCCTCTGGTCCTCTTCATGGCCCTCGCAGTACACTAATGTCACACTTTAGCTTCTCTGACTTTCTCAAAACCCAGAAAGTTGCCAGGTAAAGCATGTCAGAGCAACAGTTAGCAAGGCCTTCTTCACAGTGTTTGGGTTTTTTTGCATTCTGAACTCTGAGATTCTGAGTTCATGTTTGGAAAAGATAATTACTCTCCCTTAAACTTTCTTTTTGCAGTTATGCACCATGTCGATAGTGATGTGAACTGTACTGAACTTTTAAGTCCCAGGGGTATCAGTCAGCTTTACAAGTCACTTATCAATGAAAACCACTATCATTTCTCCTATGATCAACCTGAAGCAATGATCAAAACCACAAAGTTAAAATCTAAAAAATCTCGCTTGACAGAAGGAGGAAGTGGCTTGCTCATCAATTATCACATTATGGGTGCTACCTATCCAAATAACTGTTGTTGTCATCAGCAGCTATCTTTGATTCAGGAGTTATTTCTCAAAATGAAGTTGCCTCAAATTGCCTATTTACTACACTTCTTGTTCAGTTTCAGTTTCTCCAGTCTTTGTCCTTTATCAGTGCTATTTTCGGTATTATTATCTCCTCTTTCCTTTCAAAGATCTTTGAATAATTGCTTTCTCCAATGCTGTCCTGTTTTCCAAGCCACAGGGAAGAGACATTGTTCTTGTTCTCAACTATGTCAATAACGTGTGCTGGACCGTACTTACTAAAATAGGCTCAATAAAATAACTACAAATAGCACCAGAATACTGAGCTCTCATTGAAAGCTTTTCTCCTGTGTGGTTAAGTGAAATCCCAACTTGTCTGTGAGAACAGTAACTACATATTCATAGCAACCTGCTCATAGGAAATCAATAAAGAATCTATCACCTCCCATGTTTCAAATTAAGACAGGTTTAACAGCATAGACCCCTGCATCCATAAAACTGAACAGTTTGGGACCTGCTCAGTTCTTCATCTTCTCTGCAGAAATGGTTGAAATCCAGTGTTAAGACTAGAACAGGAGCAGCTCCAGGCCCAGCAAGTAAGAATTTCCCAGAAGGCAAGAGATCTCACACAGCACAACAATACAAGAACTTGATAGAACATGTGAATTTTTCTTAAATTTTTCAAAGAAGGATCTCATTTGCTTCCTTTTTTTTTTTTTCCTTTTTCTTTTATTGCTAAGAAGACATCATTTTCAGGTAATTAGAACATTCCTTAAAGATGTTTTAAGTAAATGCCACTGAGCGAGTATCTTTACTGTTGCCTTCATAAGGGAATAACCTTTTGATAACAGTACAGCTAGTGTGTCTTTCCATGCACTGGTCATCCTGCTACACAAAACATGTTAACTATTGACAAATCTCCACTGAAAAGGACAGAAGAAGAAGGTTCTCAATTATTATTAAGCTCCCTCACGACTAATAAATTTTCCATCAGTTAGAAGAGACTGACCAAATTATTTTCTTGCCCATCATCCATAAAAAGGAAGCAGACAAATGTCAACTTGTATGAGAAATAGTGTGGGGAAGGACTGCTCATTAAACCCCAGAGACAGGAGAATTTTGACTACAGCTTAAAGAGACACCAGAACTTACCTTACAGAAAACCACCTGGAAACAACGGAACTGTTTGCTTAACTTTGTGGTTGATTCTTCAGGTGCTATATTTGAAGGTTATTCATGAATCATCAGCTACTTTTCAATATGATATGTGCATAATCAGTAAGTTCTTTCCCCAGCCACCTCCATTTTTGTGATTTTCCTTTTCTTTTATGTTTTTTTTTTGAGTGTACCACCTTCTTCAAATCTTATTATAAGGCACCTCTACTTATTCAGTATAAGTCATTGCTCCCAGACATAAGTAAATCCAGCTTCAGTGGACTCCCACTTCAAATGTCCTGGATTACCCCTGAGCAATTATTGTCAACAACTGCTTCAAGATTCCTAGAGGTATGGGGGCAAACAGCTTTTAAAACACCTGCAGGAATTCACTTAGAGTGGCACTGCTATGACTTTCCCCAGTCATGCCCAGAAATCCCAGTCATTTTAAATGTAACCTCAAAGAGAACAGATAGGCTCAAGAACTGACTAAATACCAACATCTTTTTAGCATATGCTATTGATTATTGAATCATAAATGCTACCACATTTTGTGGTACCTCTTATTGACCTGCTTTCCTTGGTAGTAAAGGGTAACTATAAGTGTCTTTTCACTCCAGGGTGAAAAAATCACATTGTTATGAGATTCTGTAAAAGCATGCAAGAAGCTATGGTGAAAAAAGAGTGCTAGCTATCTGATCATAGCACAGGAACTTTTAAATAAACATTGCTGCAAGGCTGAAAATAAAGTATTAATGGATTATTCACTACTGCAATCAAATAAATACCTACTCATTAAATCAAATTCTTAAATTATAAATTCTTCTGTGGGTAAACTGAAGAGAAAATACAGACTGCTTTGTTTCATGTTTCGCTCCTAATTTCTAGCTCTCTAATTAAGACAACTTCTGGTCTTGCCTACTTGGACAAAGAGCTGCAACTTTTTAAAAGAGAGATCAAAGCTTGATGGTAGTACTACTAAATAAACTGCAGTTGTCACATTTAGAAAGGTGAGCCAAAGGACATGTGTCTGAGGTGGCAAGCTTTCTGCTCTGAGTAGCATGGCTGCAGGGAAAAAATGGGTTACAATAGCAGCCTTGCTTCCTTTTAAAAGTGGGACCAGTGAAATTTCGGGTTAGTGGCAGTTCACTCCTATCTTCATGAGGCAATACTTTGGCTAGACTGCAGTGCACTTTGTGATCTAACAATGAATACTTAAACAGAAAATATGCCCCTGTAATAAGCCCCCACAGTAAAAAAATTAATATTAATGCAGTGAAAAAATTGTTCTTCCTTTTGAACCCAGTGAGGACTGCAAAGACAGTGATTATTAAAGAATTCAGCTGGTTTCAAAATTGACCTTAACCTGGAAAAAGCTAAGCAGAAGCAGAGGGAAAACTGATTAAAAATTCAATGCAGCATTTCATGGCCTTGGTAACCTGGGACTGGGGCACTCAAGAGCTACTGACAGCTTGCATTTCAAAGCTGATTTGTAAAGTTGCCAACAGGTCAGTAATCAGTAACTTTACAGAGCATGCAGCTGACACAGAAAGCCAAAAAGCAACAACAAAAGACATAATTGGATCTTAGGACCCAAAAGATGCCATGAATGCATTCATTTTTGGCACTACGTATGCTGCATGTTGCTACAAGATATGGTTATAATGAAGGCGATTTGCATATTTTTCATGAAGTTTGGATGCACTGAATCATAAAAATAACCCCCTAACATGAAACTATTTCACTGGCGCTTGGAAATCTTATTTGAAACGTTGACAGAACCACAGAAGTATTTTGTGATGAAAACAAAAAGGAAAAAAAAAAGAAGTCTGTTAGGTCATCACAGGCATCTGCCTTCAAATGCTGAATTATTTTCTTCAGCTTTCTAAAAAGTTATTCATATTTACCAAAGGAAAGAAACAATAAAGGAAACCACCAAAATAACTACAGACTACTTAAAATTTCACAGCACTTAAATCTTTGGACTCCAATGGGAAAGTTCTTACCCAGCTGCTGCTGATTTTGGAGAGTTACAAGGTCTTAAAAGGCCTGTGTGTATTGTTTAAGGGCCTACTGGTTAAAATTCTTTTCCTTCAATGCCCCCTTGTCCTTCTTCTCCCTGCTTGTTATCAACCCTCAGGACTGGCTATCGTATTCTGTAGGCAGAGGTTTCCAGGTCGATATCCACATCTGCCCTGTCACAAGGCTCTGGGTCTGTCCTCTCCAACCTTGATCCAGTGTTTTTGTTCAGCAGGGGAACTGCAAGCTCTACCACCTTCTTGCTCCAGGTGGTACCATCCCAGATTTCCAGGCTCAAAGCTCCTGGAAACACTGGCAAATAGCCAGAGCTGTCAGAGACACAGGCTGGACACACACAGGTGTCAGACAGGGGCTGCTGGAGTGGGCAGAGCCAGCACCGGCAGATGCCACCCTGCTCCCAGTCAAAAACTGCAGGTGTTAAAGTGGTAGGTGCTGCTATGTCTTGTCCCCAGCAAGCCTCTACTGTTAAAAAGCAAGTTGAGTTAACATTCAGGCAATGCAGTCAAGCCTCCACTCAACACTCACCACAACTGGCTCAGCAATAGAGGCAAGAAAGGCTCTTTGGCAAGGTTTTACTCCTCTGTCGCCAAAGGACAAACCCGGAGAAAGAGAGGAAAACCGCTTAGAGCAGGCAGCTTAGGAAGGGGAAGGGGTGGGGGCAGAGCTGAGGGCCGGGCAGAGGGGCCTGCCCTCCAGGGGAAGGGGAGTGGCCACCAGGGATGCCAAACCAGTGACAGGGGAAGGAGAAACCTGAGGAAGTTGCGACCCCAAGGCCATGGGGGAGACTGTTTTTCCCTTTGGGAGGGATGACTCTGTGGTAAGTAGTTAATGCTTCCAGGGCTGAGGGCTTGGGGATTGACCACGGAGGGAGAGTTCATGGGATGCTACGCCAGTCCTGTGTCACAGCAGCCAGTGTACAAATGACAGCAGGGATCACACAAGGCTTGAGGCTTCTCACCTCCTTCCCCCTCACCAGACAGGTTACTGAGGCCCTCTGTTTCCTGCTGATGTGTAGGGGCTGAACCTGTGAGTGAGAGACCACGTGTTTGTCTGTTTGTCTATTTGTCTGTCTGTTTGTCTGTCTGTCTGTCTGTCTGTCTGCTGGGCTTTGAGAACCCTTATCCTCTGCACAGCCTGAGGGGAATTACACTGTCCATGTGTCCCTTGCGTTGCCAATGTCATGCCCAGCCTTGCAGTGCCACCGGCAGCACGTCAGTCCCTGTGGACGCCCCTAGCCAGCCAAGCCATGACTGAAGTCATGCCTTGGGAAGGTAAAACATGGAGAAGAATTTGCGGCACACCAGATAAACACAACTGGGTCTCACTAAAAAAATCTGAATTTCTAAGACATATATATTATAAGAGCTGGATCTTAAAAGTTTCCTTTTGTCACAGCTGTAGCACTCTTGGCAAATCTTTCCACTCTTCTCCACAGAAATTCTTGTGCTTGGTCTTTCTGACAATCAGTGTGTGACCATCTACCTCTCTGTCTATACCTGCAGCCATCATGTATTTCTGCTGGAATGTTATAGCTGTATATTTGCTGTATTCATTCAAAGAAAAAAGGTATTAAAAAATAACACAGAAACATATTTCTCTATTAGTTTATCATTATTTTGCTCTTTTCAGTACACGAATGATAAATATAGGCTAGTTGAAAGTCTAATTTATTTTTAGGGATTTTAAAAGTTCCTATTTCCTACAAGTTCCCTGTAGGAATTAAACTGTCAGTATCAAAATTTGAATATGCAATCAATCCAAGGATTTGTGGATCCTCGTTTATTAGAATTGCAGTCTTTACTGTGGTTTCAGACCAAGTAATGGTCAGCTTTAGGTTTTTGCTCTTGAAGAAATTTTCTCTCATGCTTCTAGGAAAAAAAAATTCTAAGTCGTTTTGTTGTTATTGGACAAAAATTGCTTCTGCCTTTTGAATTAAAAGATATAAATGGCAACAGGCAACATAAATGAAGCAGGGTGCTTTCTGGATATGCACCTTGGATGCAGCTTCTGCTTCTCTGCTCTGCCAGAGATGCTGCAGCAGAGATGCAAGGCTTGTAAAAGGTGCTGAATGTCCAAGATATCCATAGTGAGACGAACACAGGTTCCCTCTAGATTTTTCTTTAAAAGTGTTAGTACAGCAGAAGGAATGGGAAGGAAATGGCCAGCCTAGGAATGGCAAGGCACAGCAAGGCATTAGGGGGAAGTCTAAATAGTCTTTCATGGTTGTTGCAAACTGAGTGGTGTCAGGGCTTGACGTGATTCTAGCAACATGAAGTGTCACAAAATGAATATAAGTCATACAGCTCTGTCATTACAATGCCAGACTCACTCTTCTGTCCCCACCAACTCATTCTGAATGCAAATTTATTCATACCGAGCTCTTGTGAAGCAAGAATGTGATTTATTTTTGAATATGCAAGTGCCAAACTTAAGAGATGGAAGAGATATTTCACAAAATATGGTCAGAGGATATAGCTATAATTAGTGAGAGAAAATAAGAAACCAAAATAATTTTTTTATTGGTGAAATCTTTCTATCTATCAGTAGGAACCTTGTACTTCCATAAGACACATCCATAGGACCAGGCATTGAAAATATTGCTATTTCTGGAGCAGTTGGCTAATGAAACTGGTGCATCCACTGAGCTAAAAGCATTTAAATCCTTGCAAGCCTGCTTTTAATTGAACAGGACATAGAACCAGTTTGGATCTCGGGCAAATAATTTCTCACTCTAGACATATCCTTCCAGGTCAGAGGGCAATTTGTTGACAGGAAAGAAATAGGAGGTCTGGTAGCAACTTGCTGCCTACACTGCTGCCAGGTGTGACACTTAATTTGCAGTGACTTTTTAGCCCTTCCTACCAGCATTTGGAAGGAAAGCATGCTGTGATGTGCAGGCATGCATGGCTAACTCAGCCACCTAGGGGATGTGCATATCTTGTCAGGCGCACAGGGAAAGAGGCAGGGCTCCACAAGGGCCGTTCTTGCTTGCCCTGCAATGCTTGTTCTCATAATTTATGAAGCTGATGGCCTGTATCCCCCATTTTAAGAACTCTTAGTAGTGCTTTCATTCACTAATGTGCTCACAAACAAACAAGATTTTGTGAACACATGGGAAAAAGTCAAAGCTTGCAAACCCTCCTTTGTTTCAAACACTAATTGAGGTTGCTAAGAGACAATAGTGTTGATATCTATTGCATCATTTCCAAGCCCAGACACTCAAAGAAATTAATAGCTGTGGGTACTACACATCTCATACTTACACACAATAAAATCTGAACATACAATTCCTGTCAAATAGAAAAAAAATACTGCAACTCCTTCCCTACTTTGACCCTAAAATAAAATTATCAGCCTGATTTTTCAGGAGTACTTAGTTCTTGCAGCTCTGAAATATTTAAAAATGAAATCATAACTGGTGCTTCAAAAAAAACCCCTAGCTTTGTTTTCTAGTAGAAGCCTAAATGAATGCCCTTCTTTGAAGGAGAATGTGATGATTTATGTGCACATTAATGTCATGTATTGGTCAACCACTTGCTCATATGTAATTTTACTATTATTTGATATTATGGTTGCTCATTAAGGTATATGATTAAAAAAAAAATGTGTTATCAGATTTTAGCAACATAACACATAGCAAATTGACTATGAGATATTTCTTAGTTAAGTACCTCCCTTGAAAGAAGATATGTGGGAGGGATTGATTTTGACTAATTTTTAGCCATCTGAAAGTTGGGTGCTTAGCCTGGGCAAGTCACTTGCACTTCTCTAGAGCAATGGAGAGAGACTGCAGTGGAGAGCAATTCATCCAGTCTATCTCAGACACCTATCTGAAAATGGGATGAATTGCCATTTGGAGGAACTTATCTTTCTCCATTTACTATAAGGGAAACCTGGACAAATAGCTTAGATGAAACCCTTAACTTTAAATGACTAAATGTAGTGAAGATGAATTCTACTCTAAATCAATATAATACAAATAATACATAAAAGCCACAATGCACCGGTCAAAGTTAAGGCCATTGTGATGAAATATGTATTTTCTTGTTCTTGGCAAGAAAAATGTAGGAGTTTTGCATGCCAGGAAACTTCAAGATTTGCAAGGATCCTAAACTAGTAATTTCTTTTCCTTCCATTCTGCTATTTCTAAGTATCTATGCTGTTTTTCACTGAAATCTTTTAATGTAATTTTTTTAAAAAGGCACAAATGATTTTTATATATAGGTGCAATTACAAATCCTAAACCAAGAATAACAGCACCTTTCAGATTACTTGTCACATATGCTAAATCCAGTTGCATTTTTGAAGGCATGATAGTGATAGTGCTATCCACATTCCTTTCCAAAACAGTAATTAAAAAAAAGAAAAAAGGAAAAAAGTATTATTATTCCATTGTAAGTAAACTAGAATGACTCTTTACCCTCAGCTTCATAATTTTTTTGTGTGTAAAAGAGGGCATCTCCAACCTTTGCTTGATGCTCTCTGGCTCACATGTTGAGATTCCTTACCTGTTCTAACAGTCTCCTTCATGGGATTCCCTTCCCACAGGAGTGTGTTTCTGGGCCCCCATAACCCTACTGGTCACCTCCTCCTCCTCTTCCACACCTGGCCCCCATAACCCTACTGGTCACCTCCTCCTCCTCTTCCACACCTTTGTGGTGAATGATGAAGAAAGGACGCAGCTTTTCAATACCAAGGAAGAAATGGAGCAATAACTGGAGGACCATAATCTACTTATTGCTGCTTGCAGTGGATGTCAGAGTCAAATGGCTCAGATAAGCAGCTACTACAGGACCATGAAAAAGTGCCACTTATTTTACTGCTTCTCAAAAATTTAAATTACAGAATCTGTAAATTTCCAATGGATTGAACCAACTTCCTTTTAATTTTTAAAATTTTAGAGTATTTGTTTTTATCGTGTCCTGTCTTTGCCTGAGACAAAGTTAATTTATTTTCTGTTTCTGGTAGAGTGCTGAGATTTGGATTCAGTGTGAGAATAATGTTGATAACACACTGATGTTTTGGTTGTTCCTAAGAAGTGCCTATCCTAAGTCAAGGACATTTTTGTGCCTCATGCTCAGACAGTGAAGAAGAGCACAAAAAACCTGGGAGGGAGCATAGCTGGGACAGGTGAGCTGAGCTGCCCAAAGGGGTATTCCACAACACAGAACAGCATGCTCAGTATAAAAACTGGGGAAATTACCTGGGAGGGGGGCTGATTGGGTGTCAGCGATATGGGTCTGGCATCAGCCAGCAGATGGTGAGCAATTGTATTGTGCATCACTGTTTTTACTTTTATATTATTATTGTTGTTTTTATTATTTACTATTATTATTGTTATATTTTACTTTTTTCAATTATTAAACTGTTCTTATCTCAACCTGGAAGTTTTGCCTTGATTCTCTCCCCCACTTCACTGTGGTGGGGGTGTAGGGTAGGACTAAGTGAGTGTCTGTGTGGTGCTTAGTTGCCAGCTGGACTTAAACAATGACACGATGCCATATTAGCTGTTCTGAGGTAAAACAACAAGCCTGAAGTCTTAGTATCTTTAAATTAATGTTTTAATTTTTTAAAAAATAATCTTTGGATGTGGCAGGGTTTTAAACCATTAAAACTAGTTTCATTGTCTCTTATGTAGTAGTTCACTCCATGTAAGTACTGCCAACCTTAAAAGTTTCACTCTGCTCACTGTAAATGTAACTTTGGAATAGAAGCTATTTGTTTGTTCAGCAAATACATCTGTGTGTGTGTTTTAAGGAGACTAAATATACACAGACTGTAGGTAAATATAAATAGACAGTATACATAATAAACCAA